CAAAGTGGAGGGAGATGGGGCTATTGGGGACCCGGTCATTGATCTCTGAAGATGTCAAATAGAATTTGGTTCCTCCCTTGGGAAGTTTTTAAATGTCATATAAAAAGTAAACTGGCAAATTAAACTGATTGAAACGATGATATTATGAAGAATGAGATAAATCAAGATCCTTATCACTGCTGGTAGAAGTAAAATACAATTTGGTAGTACCTATCAAAAATTTATTTATTTATTTTTAAGTATTTTATTTTGGGGGGCACCTGGGTGGCTCAGTTGGTTAAGCATCCAGCTCTGAGGAATGAGGAGTGAAGAATATATTTTATTTTAATTTTTTAAATTTTTTTAATTTTATTTTTTTCCATTGGATGAGTCTCACTTTTATATCATCTTGAAAGCTTTCATAAAAATTAAATTTTTAAAACGTTTTTAACATTAATCTTTATTTTCACCCTAGGGCACCAAAGGCACCACAGGAAGCCAAACAAGCACTCCAGAGCCTGCCAGGAATTTCTCAAACAATGTCAGCTAGCAAGCTTTGCTCTGCCATTATAGGACTTCTGAGGGCTCACTCTCCCAATGAAATATTCTCAGTCAAGATGATAGTGAGCACCCCTAGAGGATGTTCTCTCACTTCCAGCTCACCCTCCCTGACTCCTCTCCAGTGTTCTCACAAAGCATTTTCCCCAAGATTATTGCTCCCTCTGGTGCCCTCTTCTCTTGTCAGTCTTTTCCTGTGCCCCCCTGTCCCCTTTTCCAGGCTTAAGCTTAATTACCTGAAAGAAACCTGGAAACCCTGGTTTCTTAACTGGTCCCAAATGACCTTAAATATAACCAGGCAAGTAGCAAACAGAAGTCAATAAATATTTTTAAATGTAATAAGTCAAAATCATTTCTTTCAAATGGGGTTTGGCAACTCATTCAATCCCCACTTTAGCCTGTTTACTGCAAATTCTACCCAGATTCTACACACACTTCTCCCCGCTACCAGCCTCACTCTTCCTCTCCACTGCCCAATTTTTTATTCTTTTACCCATTTAACAAACCTTTTTGAGGTAAGAGCTAAGTGGGGCAAAGAAAGCAGGTATAGCAACGAATCTGACATGATCTTACTAAAGACAATATAGATTAAAGAAAAACAAAAAAACCCTGGCACAGTCTCCCAACACATAAAATGCCTTCAATATTTATGATTCTTCTTATCATCATCATCATTAACGGTCGTTGCACTCTGTGAGTTTCCAATCTAGTACAGAAAACACATATTCATGGGCATCTGGGTGGCTCAGTCGTTAAGCGTCTGCCTTTGGCTCAGGTCATGATCCCAGGGTCCTGGGATTGAGCCCCACATCGGGCTCCCTCCTCAGCGGGAAGCCTGCTTCTCCCTCTCCTGCTCGCCCCGGCTTGTGTTCCCTCGCTCACTGTGTCTCTCTCTGTCAAATAAATAAATAAAATCTTTAAAAAAAAAAAAAAGAAAAGGAAACACATATTCACAACCACAGTTCAAGGCTAGAGAGATGGTGTGGAAGATCTCAAATGCCATTGAAAAGGGCTTCAAGCTGTAAGAATGGGAGGGTGTCATTTTTTAAACATGGAAATAAAATTATCAAAGCAAAAATATAAGGATATTAAACTGGCAGCCATTTGAAAGAATGAATAAAGAGGAAAAGATTATTACAACAGTATGAAGACTGCCTCCCCTCTGACCCTTTCCTGAAATGTCAGAAGGGGAGGGGGAAAAAAAAAAGGAACACTCATCCAGTATCTGACTTCTGTCATCCCAGATGAAACAAAGGACTAAATTAGGTTGCTTGCCTTAAGAGAAAAAACACTTTAACTGAGTGGTAAGTGGGGTGGGGTCCTATTTATGACACAAGAGGGCAAGCCCCTCCCCTCTGGTAGGAGAGTTGCTGGGCACACAGCCTCCTCCTGTTCCTAATCCCTCCTCCCACAGCAGGAGGCACAGAAGTGCATCACTTGGCATAGGAGTGGAGGTCAGCAGTGCCACTTGCAGCTGCCTTAAAAAGGAAGACCAGGAATGCCAGAATGAAGGAGTGGAATCCAAAGGGTGGTGCCATTATGAGGAATCAATGAGGGATCTGTGACAAAAAAGGCCTTGAGGGCCCAGAAGGATGAAACCTGGGAGAGCAACACCTCCCGAGAGGGAAGTAACAACAGTGGAGCCAGGTTCTAAGTCAGTATCTAGGCCTGACTTGGAACCTAAGCCATCCCAGACACTTATCACCCAGCCAGAGCCTGGGCCAAAAGTGACAGCCACAGCCCAGCCAGCATCTAAGACTCATCAGGGACCCAATACTCAGCAGGAGCCCGATCCACAGCAAAGACCCTTCACTCAGCAGGAGCCCCTTGCCCAACATGAAGCTGAATCCCAGCAGGAACCTAGCACCCAACAAAATTCAGGTTTGCAGCAGGAATTTCTTGCCCCGCAGGAGCCTGCACCACAGCAATCACCTCCCGTGCACCGGGTGCCCTCCTCTCAACAGGAAGCCGCCTCCCAGCAGGGACCCAGGCCAGGAAAAGAATCTGAAACTCAACAGGAGCCAGAATTGAGAGAGGCACATGTTGCCCAGCCAGGACCTGGCCCAGTGCAGCAACCTCCAGATCAACAAGAAGCTGGATTAACACCTCCAGCCCAGCCTAGACCGGGACCCAAAAATGGATCACCTGCCCAGACTGAATCTATATCCCACAAGAGACTGAGACAGTCAGACCCTATAGCCCAGCAAAGAATTCCGGCCCGAGGAGCCAAATCCCAGCTGAGATCTTCGACTGAGTGGGGATTTCTCTCAAAACTACACCAAGTATCCACACAGCGACGAGCCTCAGAGTGGAGGACGTTTTATGAGTGGGTCACAGATTCGGACTCAGAACCAGATGTGGGGTCTCCATTAAAGAGCAATTCATCACCCAAGAGGGGTGGAACAGTGGCCCAGGGAAAGAAGCTGGCCTTCAAGGGGAAACATGAAGTGGCATCAGGGTATGGTGGGACATCAGCCCATGGGAAGAAAACTGGCAGCCAGAATCACAGATACTACAGGGATATAGGTGAGTTTGAGGTGGGAGGAAATGAGCCTCCCAGAGACGGTCATTCATTCAGTCAAGAGGAACTAAGGCCTGCCAGTATGTCAGGTTGGCTCTGGGGATCCCTCACCAGTCCTTCCAAAGATCAACAGCCCCATTTGATAGATGAGGAGGCTGAGGCCTGGAGACGTAAAGGTCTTGCAGGAGGCCGGGCTGATATAGGGAGTGGCAGAGCCAGGCTGTGACTTCTTCCCTGCACCAGGCTGCCTCCCCACGGAGGATTTGGGGGAAATCAGAGAGAAGTGGGACAGGGCTCTGAGCTTCGGGCCGGGAAAGAGAGTAGCTCCCACCACCCCCCAACCCCCGCCACTATTCACCCATCGGTCCCCAAACTCACAGCCCCGGGGCATCCTCTGCCTTAGGCACCAGCCACCTGGTGCTACACGTAAGCCCTTACCCTCACGGCGTTTCCATCCCCACTAGGTGGAAAATCGGGCCTTGGGGATCCTTGAGCTCTCCAGGTCGCCCCGGGCGGGCAGGGAGGCACCTGCTCCCCTGCCAGGCCGCCTCCAGTCCAGCCAGGCTCGGTGGCCTGGGGGTTGTGTTCTCAGGAAGGGTGGCGTGGGAGAGGGGCTGCGGGGTCTGCCGAAGTGTCCGGCAAGGTTGAGGCTGGACGAAGGGAGAGTTGCGGGGAGCAGTATGGGAGCGGGCCGGGCCCGGGACTCCGCTAAGCCGCCAGCGCTGCTTCCCCCGCTGACACAGGCCATGGTGCCCCTGGGGGAGGGCAGGCTCCAGCTCCACAGCGCTCAGGCAGAAGGGGGCACGCAAAGTCTCGTCCGTGGAATGAGCGGTTAGTTGTTGAAGCAGCCTGAGGGGAGCCAAGTCAGCCCCGGTCCAGAAGCTGAGGGGCTCCGGGACGGCCGGGTCGTCCGAAGGGCCGGCAATGGTGGCCTCCGCTGAGAGGCCGGTCCCTCCCGGAAGAGCTGGGCCGTCTCTCTCAGGGCTGTGAAGAAAGTAATGATGTCTCTCAGGACCAGGGCTGCTCGTGTGCTTCAGGAGGGAAGGGAGGGGGGTCAGGATGGAAAGGGAGGGTTTGAGGTCTGTTTTTTCTGGCGCTGAGGATGAAGAGCTGTTTCTGTAGGCTCCAGAACCCAGTCTCAAGGGACACGCTCCACACACCAACGCGGTAGCCTCTCCTCCGACGCCCCGTCCGCAGTTGACTGTGTGCGCATGCGCGAGCCTCGAGCCTCTTCCGTTTCCCGCCTTTTCCCGGGCACGCGCCAGGCCCTCTACCGTCGCTCTCGACGGGCCGATCCGCGGCTTCGGGCTAGCGCGCAGGCGCCGAGCATTCTCCTTCCCCCGCCCTTCCATTCTCTGGGAGAGGGAGAAGGCAGAGAAAAGAATCCCGAGAAAGACAGCAGTAGGACAAATAAGGCAGGAAGAAGGCGGGGCTTCCTTCCCCAACGGCTCGCAGGCAGAGCCACGCCTCCAGTGCTGTCGCCCCGCCCCGGCTTTGAATTGCCGGTGGACCTGGCCCACCCCGCCCCCCCCCCCGCGAGGCGGAGGCTCAGAGGCGCCCCGCTTTACCCTTCCAGCAGGCGGGCCGGGTCGCGTTCTAGGGGATCCCTACTTGGGAAGGTAAGTGGGAAAGCAAGGCTGAGAGCCCGCATGTGAAAAGATCGAGGCTTCCCTTCTGGGGTGAGCCCCGCGGGACTCCCCACTAGTCCTGCCCGAAGGACACTTCTCGCCGCCTCCAGGGCTGCATTTTCGTTGGTCACGGGCCCTTTAAAGGGTGCGAGGGGGCGGGGCCAGGCTTTAGGCCCCCCTGGGTTTGAGGGCGGGACCCGGCAGTGGAGTGAGGCCCGGATTGGTCAGAGGGCGGGACCCAGAGAGGAGCAAGCCCAGGATTGGGTGGTATGGGGGCCCGGTGGTGGTGTGCGGCGAGGATTGGCTCTCCCGGCGGGGCCTGGCGGCTGGAATCGGCCCCCGCGTGGGGACCGCGGAGAACTGATGGAGTCTGGCTGGGGAAGCGGGGCAGCCAGGGCCGATGGGGCCCTGGGCTCGAAGAGGGCCAAAGAGGGGTCCAAGACTCGTAGCCGCCGGCGGTGGCGAAAAAGCAAAACCAAAGGTGAGCGCGCGGGGGCCGGCAGCAGAACGGAAGGAACCTTCGACATCCTGCGGGGAACTGGGGACTGAGTGGACGGACCCACTGCCCCGAGAAGTGGGGGAGCCCGTGGGCTGGCCCACTGCCGCCCTGCGAGGGGATGCGGGGATGATCCATTGTGAGAATGGGTGATGTGAGAGTGGAACATGACCCTCAGCATAGAGACTACCGGACGCCCCAGTAGCGACTTGGGAAGAGTGTCAGAATGCGAGTCTCCAAGACTAGGGTTCCCGGTCCGGCTCCGTACTCGCTGTGTGACCGTGGGGCAATTCCTGGCTTCAGTGTTTCCTACCAGGGAAATGGTTCAAGCGCCGGTTTTCAGGGCCCCAGCACTCATGAGAGGATAATGGAGAGGTTTAGAAGCTGTTGCTCAAAGAGGAAGTTTCGAGGGCATTCACTGTCAGGAAAAGGTAGGAGGAAGGGGTGCCTCATAGTGGGAAATGCCCCAGGGCCAGTATGGCTCAAAACAGTCCATCCTCCCATCCTTCATTCAATCCGTGCCTCCGGTTCCTTGTCAGGCCCCCTGCTTCAGCCCAGCACCACTGGGGCCTAACTTCCTGACCCCCGCTCTTTTTAGGACTAGGGAGCCCTGGATAGGCTTCAGACCACCACAACCTCCCTGGCACAAAGAAGGGAGGGCTGTCAACTGGTTTCTAAGGAGCCACATTATTTACAGATCTCAGCAAGCTGGAGAAAGACTGACAGACCACCAGACATGTTGCAAGCCTCAGGCAGGACCACACATTAAGTTCTTGCTAGGTGATGAGTATTTGTGAAGCCAAGTGAGGACCTATGGGAAGTTCCTTCCTGTGAAGAAACTGATGTAGCCCCCAGGCCCTAGAGACCCCAAGCCCATTGTTCTCTCTGCCTTAGGCAACATCATTCGCCAAAGACAGAACTGGAGTTGGCTACACACAGGCCCGCGCACACTCACACACACGCACACATGCAGATGTGCAGACTCAGACAGGCTCGGAGCTCAGGCTGGGACCTGAGGGCATTCACTGTCATACTACCAAACACAGCGTCACAAGCAGGACAGTGTGCCCAGAGGCAGTACAGACCAAAGTTAAAAACGTGGGCGTTGGTGGCCTGGTTCCTGGGGTCATAAACCGTGGTACACTGAGCAACAGGCTTCTATCCCTGTCTGAACTTTCTGAGCTGTAAAATGGGCACAGTGATAGGACTCCCTGACTCGTAGGGCCGTTGTGAGGTTTGAATGAGTGTAGCACAGTGGACACTGGCACACAGCAAGCCTGCCTGAGGGGTGGAGGTTCTCATTACTGGTAATCCCCATTAGGCAGTGAGTTCCCTAAGAAGGGGCCCGTGTCTGCCTTGTTTACCGCACATTTTCATAGCCTGAGATGCCAGGCACAGAGGCAGTCAGATATTTATTGAATTAGTAAGTGAAGGAATGTACAAACTGTAACACTGGGATAATAATAATCGTGCTGCCCTTAGGCTTGTCGTGAGGAGTCAGAATCCTCTTGGGTCGGGTGCCTTGCACAAGGCTGAGCCAGTCCCACCCACAAACCCAAGGGCCCACCTACTCACAAAGGCTCATTCCACTCAACTCTGAGATCCACCTGTCATTTCCTGAGGCTCTGCCCTGGTGCCACGCCTCATTAGGGTGAATCAGACCCTGCTCCTGCCCCTGCCCCGAGGACATCCAGGCTGGCTGGAGCAGTCCTAGTCATCAGGTTGATCTTGCCTGGAACTAATGACTCTAGTGTCATTGTGATCACCCCATTTCTGAGATGCTGACACTGAGGCTCTGAGGGAGCAAGGTCACCTGGGCTTCCTTACCTGGCCGGTGAGGGCAGGGGTGTGTGAACTCAAACTTGCTCTGTGCCCTGCCACCCCGCCTTGATTATGGGACCAGAAAGCTCCAGTCTCACAGATTCGTTCAGCAGACATTCACTGAGCATTTACTTGTGTCAGGCCTGGACTCTTAGTGGTGAGGACAGACTCACATTTGAGCTGGGGACACAGATATCAATCAAATAATCCCACAAATCAGATATAATTGTAAACTGGCAAATACAAGAGGGAAAGTCCGGAGAAAATGTAAGAGGAGGCTTCCCAGGAAGGTGACATTGGACCCAAGGATGAGCAAGTGCTGACTGCTGGGCAAGGGGGGCAGGGAGGCGAAGGGAACAGCTCAGGCAGAGACCTTGAGGCCCAAGGAAGTGGCTCATTACAGCACAGAGGGAGCTCAGCAAGGGAGGGGAGGAGTAGGGGGCTCGGGGGGCAGGGGGACCAGATAGCACCTGGTTTGGCAGGCCATGTCCAGGATTGGGGGCTTTATCCTGAGAGCAAGGGTGGGGGGTGTTGCAGGGTTAGGAGTGTGTGACCAGACTGAAGTTCTAGAAAAATCCTCTGGCTGCTATGTGGAAAAGACATTGAAGGGGGCAAAATCAGAGACACATAAAGATTTATTACAATCCTCTAGATGAGGGGTCAGTGGAAGTAGGAGAAGGGCCAGATTCCAGAGGTTCCTGCGGGGGCCTGTCCAGAGTGGACAGAACTTTGTGATGCATTGGATGAGAGTAAGAAGTGGCCACACACACACACACACCCGGGGGGCACACAGATAATGAGTGTATACGTCCATACACACACAAACACCTGCCCGTGCAATCTCACAGGCCAAGAAGAACACAGACACGGATACACTCACATACATACACACATGCCCTCAGACACACGGAGAAACGTACAAACGCACAGACTGGGGAAAAAATGTCACCCACCCACAGACACAGGCCAGGCAAACACTAGGCATGACATGTACCCACATACATATGTACATCTGTGTGTGAGCCTCCAAGACACTCACACCTGACCACCCAGAAAGCGGGCAGCTGAGACCTGATGGAGAGAAGGAGCCCCCCCACACACACACTGCAGAAACTCTGCAGAGACCGGCTGAGCCATCCTAGCGGGTCCTGTGACTGTGGGCGGCCCCGTCTTCCTCGGCATCTTGCTTCTCTCCACTGCCAAAAGGGGTGGTGACGGTCCCTAGCCCCTGGGCTGTGGAGAGGACGAAATGAGTTACAGTGCCTGGCACGCATCTACGCTGCAGGCCTCTCCCCTTCGGAAGCCCTTGCCCCTCCCAGGCCTCAGAGCTGGTCCTTGCTCCTCCATCCTCCCTGAGCTTGCTTCCCTTCTCACCCCTGCTCAGTCCCCAGGGGCCAGAATCCAGGCTGGGTCTGGCTGTCCTGTGGCTCTTTAGGGCAAAGGGCTGGCGCCAGGCAGCAGAACCCCCCTGGGTCCCACCTCTATCCCAGTTGTTGCTTATGGGCCTTGGGCGCCTCCCTCTGCCCCAGTGCCCTGTGCCTGAGATTCTTGGCAAGTTTCTGGGCAACCTCAATATCCCTTCCTCCCAGCTCCACCCAGCTCAGCCCCCAGGGAGCTGCCTAGAACAGGGCGAAGAGCAGGGCCCTGGAATCATGAAAGCCTGGGATTCAGCCTCTTCCTCACCGCCGCCCATCCAGGCTCACCTGGCCACCAAGCCTTAGTGCTGCCTCCAGAGGCCTCTGTCTGTTCATCTGTTTGTTTGCCCTGGGGAGGGGTGGTCCTCTCCCAAGCTCCCATTCACCTGCTTCTGCCCCCACTCTGACTCTTCACGCTTTCTTTCCGTCTTCAAATATTTGCTGAGTACCTATTATGTGCCAGACCCCATGATGAGCCCTGGGGCCACCCCCCTGCCTGAGGGGGCATGATAATCAAAGAGGAGAAACGGGGGCGCCTAGGTGGTGCAGTTGGTTAAGTGTCTGACTCTGGGTTTCGGCTCAGGTCGTGATCTCAGGGTCATGAGATCAAGCCCCGCCTCAGGCTCCCCGCTCAGCAGGGAGTCTGATGGAGATTCACTCTCCCTCTCCCTCTTACTTCCCGCTCGTGCTCTCTCTCAAATAAATAAATAAATCTTGGAAAAAAAAAAAAAAAAAGGGAGGAGAGACAGAGGATTCACCTACAGCCAAGCAAATGACCTTAGGGCCTCATTCGTGCAGACCCCTTCCAAAGCCCTGTCCCTAAGTTTGTATTTGTGATTTTATATCCCTTTTCCTAAAGAGCTCCACCTCTACACATATCAGCTTCACAGCTCCGTGAAGTCTGGTTCTGTCCCTGGGGGGAGACAGACAACAAACCTGTAAATGAACGTGTCTAACTGCAAGTGTGTAAAAATTTGGGAAGAAACGCGAGTCTGATGGCAGAAAGTAATGATAGGGGTGTGTGTCTTAGGTGGGGAGGAATAGTTAGGGAGGGCCAAGGCCTGAAGGGTGAGAAACAGCTGGCCAGGTAAGGAGCACATGGAATAACAGAGGTAAAGTGTTTCTTGGAGCCTCAGTGTCCCATATGTGAGGCGGGGATGGCAGTCACAGCAGGATGGCCTGTGAAGGGTAAGTGGCAGGTGCCCAGTATGGGAACACCACACAGTAGGACGTGTGTGGCTCAGAAGCCCTAGCTGAACTTGGCACCACCCTTAATCGGCTTTTGTGCCCTCGGGAGGGACAGGCAGGGCTGGCTACCCTCTCTCCCCCCCACCCTCCAACAGCTGGGGCCGGCTGTGCCAGGGCCAGCCTGGGGGACGGGAGCTGAGATCACGGGGCCTTTGCTCTCTGAGCTCCACCCTGGGGAGAGGGAGGGCAGCCGGGCTGGGTGAGAAGAAACACTTTGTTCCTCACTGAGGCTAAGACTCCTGGCTCCTAAGAGAGAAGAGCCTTGGCAAGCTAGGTACCTCAGTTTCTAATTATTGAGGGGGTTGAGTGTCTGGACTCCTGGACCCAAGCAAGGAAGGCGCTGGGGCCCTGGACTCCGGGGTTCTAAGGCAGAGGAGCCTGGGACAAGGACTTGCATTTGAGCAGGGGCCGGGACCGGCAGAGGGCGCGGGGAGTTGGACTCCCTGCTGTGTTTACAGCACGTGGGTTCCCTGGCCTTTCTGGGTGGGAGGTGGGGCCGGTGGCCACACCCTGGGCAGGCTCTGCCCCTCCCCGCCGGTTTATGGCCCCAGGCTTCTGCTGGCACTCGCCACACTCAGCCCTAGCCCAGCCCGCAGCTCAGCGTGGGGGAGCTCAGAAGAGGTCTGGGAGGGGTGAGTGCACTGTCTGCTAAGACACAGGAACGGGGCGCGCTTTAAAACTCCAGGTCCTGGAAGGGAGGGGAGACACCTTCTGGGGAATGAGGCAGAAGCCAGGCAAGGTCCTGAGTGGGCTTCAGGAGAGAAGAGTCTCCAGAGCAGAGGGCACCGTCTCCAAGGGGGGACAACAGTAGCTTGTCCAGGGCCTGGGTGACAGTACAAGGACCCCGGAGGGAAGATCACCAGGGACCCTGAAGTGTGGGGAGTCGGGCCTTGTCCAGGGCAAGTTTTTGAGGGCCATAGCTAGAGACCCAGCTTCCAGAGCCCTGGGAGGGAGACGAGCGTTTAAGTAATGGCTCTCGACCCAGAGATCTGGGTTTGAATTCTGCACGGCCACTTTCGATGCAAGCTTCAGCTCCTTACTGAACACCTCTGAGCCTCAGTTTCTCCTGTAAAATGGGGATGGTACCGATAACAGTTGAAACGTAAATGGAGGCAGTCGGCTTCTTGGGGTGAGCAAGCACTAACTGAGAAAGTTCTTAGCGTGGGTGTGGCACAGAGCGAGCTCAAGGCTAACAGCAGAGATGAAGGCAGCTGTTCCAGGCAGGGGAGTGGGGCTGGCCCGTGCAGTCTAAGCCAAGTGGAGAGGCCCGAAGGCCAGGGGACCCAGCTGGGGAGCAGTGGGACCGACTTGTGGGGATCCCACAGAGGAACAGGGAGGCAGCTGGAGCTTGGAGGGGGTTCCACAGCCAGATCCGAGGGACCAGGAGGGGGCAGGATTGACTCCTCAGTTTGAAGTAAGGCTAGGATTATGAACTGGGTTCCGGAAGAGAACTGGGCTTGAGACCAGGATCCTGGGACACCACCAGGTAGATGGGAATGCGTGGGCTGAGGGCTGAGCTCTCCAAAATACTGGGGGAGGGGAGGGGCCTGGGGGTGACGCCTGGGGCCTTGAGAAGGAGGTGAGATGGGGGCCTGAACCCCTGAGTCCTGAGAGAGGGGGGACCTAGTTGGGATCCACACCTCTCAGAGAACCTCAGCATCCTGGGCCCCAGGAGAGCCAAGTGGAGACGGCTACCTGAATTCTTGGGTCCCTGGAAGGAAGCAGAGGGGTGGATAGACTCCGGGGTTGTAGGAGAGGCGTGGAGCTAGGAAGCCAAGAAGAGTCCCACGTAGGAGACAGCACGGCGAAGAGGAGTCTGGGGCCTGGACTCCTGGGTCTGAAAAAGGAAGGGGATGGGGCCCTAGACGCCACCCTTGGGTCCAACCCTGCCTGATGGGGGCTCCCCACTCGCCCGCAGCCTCGCGGCTCACACACAGCATGGACCTGCACACGATGACACAGTCGCTGGTGACTCTGGCGGAAGACAACATGGCCTTCTTCTCGAGCCAGGGCCCCGGGGAGACAGCACGACGGCTGTCGGGCGTCTTCGCGGGGGTGCGGGAGCAGGCGCTGGGGCTGGAGCCGGCCCTGTGCCGCCTGCTGAGCGTGGCGCACCTCTTCGACCTGGACGCCGAGACGCCGGCCAACGGGTACCGCAGCCTGGTGCACACGGCCCGCTGCTGCCTGGCGCACCTGCTGCACAAGTCCCGCTACGTGGCCTCCAACCGCCGGAGCATCTTCTTCCGCACCAGCCACAACCTGGCGGAACTCGAGGCCTACCTGGCCGCCCTCACCCAGCTCCGTGCCCTAGCCTACTATGCCCAGCACCTGCTGGCCACCAACCAGCCCGGGGGGCTCTTCTTCGACGGCGACGAGGGGCTCATTGCTGAGTTCCTGCGCGAGTACGTCACTCTGCACAAAGGCTGCTTCTATGGCCGCTGTCTGGGCTTCCAGGTGAGCCCCCCACCCCGCTCCTCCGGACCCACCGTGAAGGGGCTGGGTGGCCCCGCACCTGGCCCGACAGCATGGTAGGATTACCGCAGTGGTATCCCTGAGCTCCGGGGACGGTAGATTCAGAAAGGGGAAGCCATCTAGGGCTTAGGCGGCTGCATGGGTTGGGGGGTCTCAAACTTGTGGCCCCTGGGTCAGTTCCACCGTGTAGTAAGACATCGTTAACTTGCATGGCTCTTTGCGCCAGGATCCCCACACTCAGAGATTTGTCCATTCTTTGCGGTGACCTGTCTGTCCTCTGCAATCATTTGAGACCCCTCAGGAGGGTGGTTAGTACTGTTCTCAAAGGCCTCTTTATAAGAGCACACCCCATTTAGTCACACCCCGCCCCCCGAAGGCATGGGCAGGAGGGAGGGGGCTAGCTCCATTTTAGAGGCTCAAGGGGCTCTGGTCACAGCTGCTCCACGGGACCCTGGTCGGCCTGGGCTTTCTGGCTCACCTCTGGAGCTCTCACTTGACTCAGGATTTTCCGGCCATGGGGAAGGCCAAGGAGCACTTCCGAGTTGGTGACCATGAGGGAGACCTGGTGGTGGCCCCACCCCAGCCACCCGCAGAGGGGTACCGTTCACCTTAACACTGAGAGGAAAGTAGCCTGGGAGCCTTTGGACTCAGAGCAAAAGTAATTTGGGGGCTCAGAATTGGGGAGGGGGGAGGGGGTCCTGGGGACTCAGAGCAGAGGCCCAACGTGCTCCTGTGTGAGGTCAGTGCTGGGTTCCCCGGGCCCCAGCCACATCGGGGAACCCCCCCGCAGGAGTATCTGGAGCTGCGTGACTCTGCAGCCCCCCAGATTCTCTCCGGGCCCGCCCCACCCCCACCCCAGGTGGGCTTGGCAGTCTCTCAGCCTTCCTTCCCCGCTTCCCCACAGAGCAGCCTGGGTGTTCCTGGGAACTTCCCTTCACCTAAGCTGACCCCCTACAAATATTGATCAGCCCAGCTGGGCCAACTGGCTCCTCCCTGTGTCCCGGCCACGACCTTGGAGTCCCCGGAGAGTGATCCTATGGCCACACAAGCCAGCATTCCAGGCAAAATGGCCAGGCACCGCTGTGCTCTCTGGCCCACTGGGCCCCTGGCCAGGGGCAAGGTCATGCCTGACAGCTCTTCTCTGAGGGCCCAGCTGCTATGCTATATCCCCTGTAAAATGTCAGCCCCCACGGGGCAGAAGCCTCCCGTATGGGGCTCTAGCTCAGCGCCCGGTCCCCCCTGCCCCCGCCCCCTGCCCCCAAGCCTAGTACCTAGCACACAGTAGGGTGTAGGCCTGTATTTGTTGAATGAACAAAAGAACCCTGCTGGCCCCTTGCCCAGCTTCCTATGGCTTTTTTTCTCTGATCTTGTCTCCCCATTGTCTTTTCTTAGCGCCCGGCTCCTCCCTCAGATGCTGTCTCCCCATTTGGCTGCCTTTCTGCTGCAAGATCTCTGGCCCTGTCTGTCTCTGACCATCTCCTGTCTGTCTTCCCGCCGCCCAGGAACTGGTCCCCATCCGCCTGGCCTCATCTCTGTCCTCGCTGACTTTCAGGAAATCCCTGCATCACCTTACTCCCAACCCTCTATGGCTCCACCCACGTCTGGAACACATCCACATTCCTCAGGCCCTCCATGAGCGCCCTCTGCTTCTCTGGCCTTGGCCGCCACCCCTCTCCCCTCATTCACTCTGCTCCAGCCGCACAGGTTACCCCTGCCAAGCACAGGCTGCCTCAGAGCCTTTGCACTTGCCACGGCCTCTGCGGGGAGCACCCTTCCCTCGCTTCCTCTGGATCGCTCCTCCTCCAGCGCCCTCCCGGATACCCATCTAAGTAGCCTGACCCCCAGTCGTCAGTCTGTGTCCCCTCCACCTACTGTTTTTTCAGATTTTCAAAGCATTGGTCATGAAGCATTCCTTAACATCGAACATATGCCTTTATTTGCTTCCTGTCCCCTAGAGCAGTGCCTGGCACACAGTAGGAGCTCACTAAATGTTTGCTGGATGACCACGTCTCTCCCCAAACCCCGTCTCTGCCCCTCACTCGTGCCTGCCTCCAGTCCCTCCTGGGCAGCGGGTGACCCAGCGGCATCTCTCCACAGTTCACGCCCGCCATCCGGCCGTTCCTGCAGACCATCTCCATCGGGCTCGTGTCCTTCGGGGAGCACTACAAGCGCAATGAAACGGGCCTTGGTGAGTCCCGGCCAGACCCTGCCTGCAGCCTCGCCTCCCTTCCTGTCCCTCCTCCTCCTTCCACCCCCCCCACTCCCGCTGGGCCCCCTGACACCCCTGCCGACCCCCAGGTGTGGCCGCCAGTTCGCTCTTCACAAGCGGCCGCTTCGCCATCGACCCAGAGCTGCGTGGCACGGAGTTTGAGCGGATCATACAGAACCTAGATGTGCACTTCTGGAAAGCCTTCTGGAATATCACCGAGATTGAGGTGCTATCGGTGAGAAGGGGGCCTCATGAAGGCCCCACCAGTGTTACAGGATGGGCACACTGGGGCCCAGAGACCCATCCCAGGCCACATCAGGCCTCGGCGGGGCTCCAGGCCTGGGACAGCGCGTGGTGGTAAAGAGGGTGGGGATTGGAGAGGAGGCACGAGGGGCCGCAAGCAGCTCCTCCCCAGCGCCCCTCCTGTTCCCTCCCACCAGTCTCTAGCAAACATGACATCAGCTACCGTGAGGGTAAGCCGCCTGCTCAGTCTGCCACCAGAGGCCTTTGAAATGCCGCTGACTGCTGACCCCAAGCTCACGGTCACCATCTCACCCCCTCTGGCCCACTCGGGCCCCGGGCCGGTCCTCGTCAGGCTCATCTCCTATGACCTGCGTGAAGGACAGGTAGGAGATACAGAGCCAAGGAGCACCAACAGCCCCCCTCCCCAGAGGCCCTCCCACCTCTCGCTGCTTACACCTGCCCCCCCCGCCGTCCTGTCTCTCTGAGCACATCCCTTTGGTGGGGTGAGGCCCAGGCAGGCCACCCCAGCCTCACCCACATCCTCCTCCCTCACCCCCTCCCCAGGACAGTGAGTCGCTCAGCAGCCTGGTGAAGTCCGAGGGGCCCCGGAGCCTGGAGCTGCGGCCACGCCCCCAGCAGGCACCCCGCTCACAGTCCCTGGTGGTGCACATCCATGGCGGTGGCTTCGTGGCCCAGACCTCCAAATCCCATGAGCCCTACCTCAAGAGCTGGGCCCAGGAGCTGGGCGTCCCCATCCTCTCCATCGACTACTCCCTGGCCCCCGAGGCCCCCTTCCCCCGAGCGCTGGAGGAGTGCTTCTACGCTTACTGCTGGGCTGTCAAGCACTGTGCCCTCCTCGGTGAGCCCCCGCCCCTCACTGTCACCCACTCCCCAGTCCTGCCGCCACCCCGTGCCTTGCGGGGAGAGAGCTCAGGCCTCAGTCTTGCACCCCCTGCCTCCCTTGCCATCTCCTCCCGCCCAGCCCTCTGCCGCCTGTTCACCCCCTCCTGCCCCACTGCTCCCCAGACCTTCCGTCTCAACCACTTCCTCCTTCTGCTTCCTGCCCCCCAACTCTAGCCCTGACACCCCATCCCCCCACCTCTCTGTCCCCGAGGACCTCTTCTCTCCTCCTCCTGTTTCCCCACCCCCTGTCCTGCACTGCCAGCCTCCCGGCCCGCGCTCCAGGCCGTTCTTCCAGCTCCTCTGACCTCCTGCTTCTGACCTCTCCAGATGCAGAGGGCAAGGTGGCGGCGTGCCCCACGGCACAGGGATGTGGCTCTTTTGTATGGTCAGCTGAACCCTGCCCTTCCATCTCCAGGCCTCGGCTGCCCCTCCCTCCCGAAACGGGCCCTGGTCTCCCCTTTCCCACCACCTGTCCCCCTTGTTTCTGACCTCCAGCCTTGCAAGCTTCCCAGAGCCTCCTGATGGCCACATCCTCAGTCTGCCTGGCCCCCGACCACTGTCCCCCAAGCCCCTGCCTCAGTTTGCCGATCTCTAGGACTGCAGTGGGCTAGACCTTGGGGCTGGGGCTCCCATACCCCACCTCTGAGAGTCCAGTGCTCCTGGCTCAGCGCTTGAGCTCCTCCCTGCCAGGCTGACCAAGCCCCCTCCAACCCAGGCTCAACAGGGGAACGGATCTGCCTCGCAGGGGACAGCGCAGGCGGGAACCTCTGCTTCACCGTGTCCCTCCGGGCAGCAGCCTACGGGGTGCGGGTGCCAGATGGCATCATGGCAGCTTACCCGGCCACGATGCTACAATCTACCTCCTCGCCCTCCCGCCTCCTGAGCCTCATGGACCCCCTGCTGCCCCTCAGCGTGCTCACCAAGTGTGTCAGCGCTTATGCTGGTAAGGCTGCCACCCGCGGAGCTGGGTGCCTGGGCAGGGCTTGGGTGCTGGAGTCCTGCAGGGATGGGGGCTAGCGCCCAGTCCCCCGGGGCTCAGGAAGGGAAATCTGAGACTCCTGGTCCCCACTGAAGCCATCAGCTGTCCTTGGGTCCCCGGGGGCACAGAGGCCTGAAGTTCCAGGTGTTGAGACTGGGCCTCAGCCCTCCACACATACTCCACAGGTGGAGAGACAGAGGAGCACTCGGACTCGGACCAGAAGGCACTGGGCATGATGGGGCTGGTGCGGCGGGACACAGCCCTGCTCTTCCGAGACCTCCGCGTGGGCGCCTCCTCGTGGCTCCACTCCTTCCTGGACCTGAGTGGGCACAAGTCCCACACGAGCTCAGTGCCCACGGCAGGTGAGTGAAGCCCTCCCCTCACACACCCACTCGGGGTGGACAGCAGGGACAGCCGGATACACCGAAAGTCCTGGGGGGAGGCGAGTGGCTGTGTCCTCGGGTGCTCAGGGAAGCAGAGATCACCTTCTGGCTCTAACCCCCTATTTAGCCCTGGGGACTACCACATAGCCTTGCTTTTCCACGATGCTCCACATCCTAGAATTTCCAGGACTTCTGGTCCGCCAGGTCATCTCAGAACTCCTAGGAACTACAGGGGGTAGCCTTCCAAACAGCCCATCCCAGAAAGGAACCCCAGGAAATAACTCAGAAGGCCTGCCACATGTGCCAATTTTTGATCCCAAGAATGCCACTCAAATCCCTTGATTTGAGTGGGGGGAGTCCAGCCCTCCTAGATTCTTCCCAGACTTTTAACAGAGACACATGGGGGTAATGCCCCACTCCGGGGGCTGGCCTAGGAGCCTGGGCTCGGAGAGATCAGCAGACTGACTGCACAGACCTCGGTCAGTGGGAGAGATTCCCAGCCTCGGGTGGGTGGCAGGATCCTCACGCAGCCAAAAATCACTAACATCCAGGGATCTGTTTCTCCCCCCACAATTTTTTTTAACATTTTAATGATTTTGAAGTACAGCCAACCCATTTTGTATCTTCAGCATGCCAACAGTATTTTCTGAATAATAGTGCATGTTCAAAAGAAGACAGATACCATTCCTATTCAGAAAATTATTCCAACTGAGTGTGTCTTACCTGAACTTTTTAAATTTTAGGATATTCAGATGGATACAAATACACACAAAAACAAAAGGGATTTGAACCGTGGACCATTGAACACTGGGGCTTTCCCTAAAGGTTAGAGGTGACAGGTGCAGCCCCTAGAGGCCCACAGTCGAGCAACCTACGGGGTGACGGGGGCCAGGTACCCTATCTGTGAGCCTTGCTTTGCTCCTCCGTGAAATGAGGATGGTAAGAGGACCTGCCTCATGAGGTTGTTGTAAGGACTTCATGCAACTATTTGTGCCAAGCACCCAGCACAAACCCGACACCCAGTAGGTGCTCCTAGCAGATGCTGGCACCCCTGACAGGCTGCGCCCCGTGACTCCCGTCAGTGGTTCCGTTCCGGTGACCCTCTGGGTCACGGGGCACTTAGGCAGTTACTCTCATATCGTCTTACATCTTGCCTTCGTGGATTTATATAGACGAGTTGAAAAAGAAAAGGTATCTGCAAAAGGCAGGGTCCTGGCCCCAGTGGTAAGCAGCGTAGGTCGGGTCAGATTAATGGAGCGGAGGCTAAGGTGGGCACTCCACGCGGCCCGAAGTGCGTCTTCGGCCTCCGCAGGGCACTTGCTTGTCCAGTCACTCAAAGGTAAGGGATAAAACTAAAGAACATGAAGGAAATGTGGAGAGCAGATCTGTGTGGCTGCAGGTGTGGGATCCCTGGGAATCGAATAGGCTCCCAAGACTCTCTTTAGCTCCCTGTGAACGTGGCCTGCTCACGTGGGCCTGCTCACTATTCCACTGTTGACACCCTCTGTGTTGAGTGGCCCTCACAGGTTGGCTGGGCCCCGTGCTGGGGTCAGGGAGGCGGCTGGAACAAGGCACCAGGCCTAGTAATAAAACATGAGGATAGCATGTGACCTCCCAGGGGGCAGCAGTGCCTCCTCCCACCGAGTCCTCACCAACTCCTATGAGGTAAGGACTATTTTTATCCCCTCTTTGTACAGAGGAGGAAACTGAGGCTCCCAGAGGTAAACTGACTTGCATTTCACCCTCCCGGTCACCACACGCTCGCACGCACACACGCACACACACACACACCTCCACCTCCACCACCACGTGACTCCTCCCACCTCCCCCTTGGAGTTGCAGCCTGGGGCATCTGGGGCTCCCCACCCATCCCTGAGGACGGGCGCCTGGGGGGAACACTCAGCCTCCACAGCCTAACACGCAGCTCCTCCTGCAGAGGCCACTGCCCTCCCCCCCCCCACCTCTCCTGCCCACCACGCACACCCAGCCCACAGAGCCCAGCTGAGCTGTGGCCCCCACTGGCCACCTGCCCCTGCTCCTCTTGCAGAGTCAATGCGGCGCAGCGTGTCCGAGGCAGCCCTGGCCCAGCCCGAGGGCCCGCTGGGCACGGACTCCCTCAAGAGCCTGACCCTACACGACCTGAGCCTAAGGGGCAGCTCTGAAACGTCGAACACCCCGGAGCTGTCAATGTCTGCGGAGACACTTGGCCCCTCCACGCCCTCCGACGTCAACTTCTTGGTTGGCCCAGACGACGCACCCGAGGCCGCTAAGGCACAGGAGGAGCTGAGCACCAAGGACAGAGGCTGCGGCGTGCGCTCCTCCTTCCCTGAGGGTTTCCACCCCAGGCGCTCCAGCCAGGGCACCACCCGGATGCCCTTCTGCTCCTCGCCCATCGTCAAGAACCCCTTCATGTCGCCGCTGCTGGCGTCTGACAGCATGCTACGGAGCCTGCCGCCCGTGCACATTGTGGTGAGCGCCAGATTCGGACAGTGCGCTGGGCGGGGAGCAGGGGGAGCAGGGGCGGGCAGGGGCAGGTGCACCTGCGGAAGGGAGCCCGGGAGCGAGAGAGCGGAGGGGTGGGGGTGGTAAGGTAGCCTGGCTGCCAGCCGAAGGGAAGGGAGAGGCGTGCCACCAGGAGGGAATGCCCGGGGACCGGAGGGCTGCAGGGAAACCAGGGCTGCTATTTCCTCTCGCGATCGGGAAGGGGAAAGAGGTGGTGGGTCTGGGGGGCGAAAGGGGCGGAGATGCTGGGCCGAGGCTCAGTCTCCCACTCCCCGCCCCCTCCCCTCGTTCCTCTGCCCCGTGCCCCACCCCCGCCGTCCCGCAGGCCTGCGCGCTGGACCCCATGCTGGATGACTCGGTCATGTTCGCGCGGCGGCTGCGCGGCCTCGGCAAGCCCGTGACGCTGCGCGTGGTGGAGGACCTGCCGCACGGCTTCCTGAGCCTGGCGACGCTGTGCCGCGAAACACGGCAGGCGGCCGCGCAGTGCGTGGAGCGCATCCGCCTCATCCTCGCTCAGCCCGCCCCGCCCGCAGCGCCGCCGGTCTGAGCCCCGGCCCGAGCCGGGCCGCGCGGGCAGCGGGGGCTGCGGGGGGCGACACTAAAGACCTCTTGTTCCCATCTGAGCCGGCCTCCGTGGTGAATGCGCCCCGGGTTAGGCGGCGGGGACGTCCCCCCCCCCAGTCGAGGGGCTCCCGGTCCCCTCCAGCCCTTCCATCGGGCCGGGCGCGCGAGGGGCAGTATGTGCCTTAAGGTGGGAGGACGGCTGGGGGGGGGGAGGGGCGGGGGCCCAAAGCCGAGACCCTGCCCTGAGGGGTGGGGGGCGCGCACCAACCAGTCTCCGTAGACAGCTGGAGCTGCACTCCATCATCGCCTTCTACTGCTGCTGTGACCGCCGCAGGGTGGGGGCCTGGCCCTACCCGCCAAGACGGTTTGTTTTTGTTCCTTTGTAAATAAAAGTATTTAATTAGTTTGGCCTCTTGCAAATAGGGTCGGGTGTCGCCCACCAGGGGGCAGCATCGGACTCTGCTGCTGGGATGGGAGCAGCCTGGCAGTAGAAAGCTGGGAGCCCAACTTCTGGGTCCTGAGGAACGAGCGGACTGCGGCCTCGGATTCCTGGGTGCGGAGGGATTGGACGCCCCTACTAACACAGACCACCTCCCCTTCAGACTTAATCCACGTGATGTGCCAGATGGCCCTGGGTTCTCAGCTACTCCCCTTTGCAGACCTAGCCCCAGCACCCACCCAGAAAAGAAAACCCAAACGCCCTAGAGAACTGCAGCAACTATATCAGGAAACCAGAAACAAAACTGATCACCCCAAATACTGGAAGCCCAAGCTCTCCTGAGCTGTGACAGTCACTCAGTCCCTCAACCAAGACTCTGAGGTCTTGTCCTTTTGTAGGCCCTGGGTTTGGAGCAGAGATGATTTCTATCCAGGGCCTGTCTTCAAGGGACTCAGGGAGAATGGGCGGAGAGACCCAGACACAGCATGTCACAGTTCCCCCAGGTTCCATTTGCGGTAATCAAGGAGGGCTTCGTAGAGGAGGTGATCTGAATTTGACCTTAAGGGATAAGTGCAAGTCTGCTAGGCAGAAGAAACATGCAAAGTTGTGAGAGCCACTGCACAGTTATCAAAGCCTCTGCCTGGCCAGAAGGTCAGGTACAAAGTGGGAAGTGGCCTGGGGGGCCTGGAGCAGTCAGCAAGAGCAGATCCTGAAGGGCCTGGAATACAATCTGGACTGAACTGGAGGGCAGTGGGAGCCACAAAAGGGCTTTGAGCAGGGGAAGGACAGGATCAGCTAAGGCACTGAAAGGGCCTGCTGGGACCTGGGGGATGGACTGAAAGGGGCAAGACTGGAGTCCTGGAGGCAGAGGAGGCTGGGGACAGGGAAGACAAGGCCTGAGCTGGGGCAGAGGCCATGAGGGTAACTGACGTTGAAGAGGACTTATTGTGGGTGGAGCAGTTGGGGATGAAGATGGCACTCAGGCTAGCCATGGGAGCAGGTGAACAGTGAGGCTGTGTCTTTACTGGGAAGAGGCTCTGGTGTGTACAAGGAGGGTGGCCATCTACTGAGAGCTGTTTTGCACATGGAGAGATCAAAAAGTCTCTGTGAAGCAATCCAGGAGGCAGCAGGGGGCAGGAGAGTAGGCTGGTTGCTCACTTCTGGCTGGAGCTGAGGGACTAGAACCTTTCCAGGAAGAGTGGACAGGTGGGATGAGCAGAGGACCAGGACAGAGAGAGCCCTGAGGGCCACTGCCCCCAGGAAAGGGGTGGGCAGTAAAAGGGGAATCAGTTCTGGAGGGTTCTAAGGAGCAGCCGGAGAGGGAAGAAGCTAACCAGGAAACAAGAGGAGATTTCAGGTGGGAGGGAGTGGTTGGGGTGAGATGAGGATGGAAATATTATCCTCACGCCTCAGCAGGGAGCAGGTGGGTCCTTGGTGACCTTGTCCAGAGCTATTGCAGGGCCATGGGATGTGGGCAGCCAGACATGGAGGGCTGAGGAGGGAGCCATAGCCCAGAACTCTCCCTGAAGGTCTTGTTCCCCCTGTTGAGCTCATAGGACCCCTTGTTCATCTCTCCCAAAACAGTCATCCACCCACCAACCCGCTCGTATTTCCTGTCCCCATCTCAGGGACAGCTCCTGTACCCCTGTAGCTCAGGCCAGAACTCTGGGTCTTGTCCTGGACAGCCCCTCATCCCATAGCCCATCAAGCCCGATATTCTATTGTTTCTGCCTCCCGAACCTCTCTCTGCCTTATCCCCTTGGTCTCTGACCTAATCCACGCTTCATCTTCTCCTGCCTGGGTGTCTGCTCAAGCCACCTTCTGGGCTACTGGCAGTGTCCAGGCTCGTTTCTCCAGTTCCGGCTCCAGCTCTGACCTCATCTTCCCCTGCTCTAAACCCTTCCATGGCTCCCCACGACCACCCCACCCCAGGACAAAGTCCAAGCTGCCAAGGCTGGCCTTGCCCACTTCATCCTCTTCCAGCCTTATAGTTACCCCACCGCAAGGACCTGACTGGCCTCCGTCTTGGGCACCTACACAGAGTAATACTCCCGCATACCTCCCTTTCTTCGCTTGTGCTGAAACACCCTCTCACATGCTCTTCTCCTTTGCTTGGCACCTCCTGCCCCTCCAGGATCCAGCGCCAATGTCCCCTCCTCTGGAAACCCTTTCCTGATCCAGCAAAGCCTAAAGAGACTCTCCCCACCTCGGCACACCCCTGCGCATCAACGTGTCTGTCCTCCCCGGGATCTGACCGGGGATCCTCGAGGGCAGGGCCTAGGCCTGACTCATCTTGGTCACCACCGTCGTCCAGCACAGGGCCTGGCACATCGGAAGCCTCGGGAAACGTTTGAGTAATAGGTGGCTGAGTGTGTGATGAGCGAGCGAGTGAGTAGCAACAGAAGCTAATGGGAAAGCCAGTGAGTGGGAGAGAGAATGAGGGCAGGAGAGACTGAACGGATGGGTGTGCAGGCCGGGTAGGCGCAGCCGAGAAATCAGGTTGAGGCTGAGAGGAATGGAATGGAGACATGACTGTCTGGGACTCAGTTTCCCCAACAAAGCAAAATGCGCGGTCGCCTGGGCTAAGCGGCCCCCTCCGCCTTCAACCCCAACAAACCTCGCCGTTTCCCCTCCGAACTATGTCCAGAATCCCAGTACTGGGCGTGCTGTAAAGGGCTTACCGAGTGGACCCGCAGAACCTGTCTCCCTCCCAAGCCGCTCCAGCCTCTGGGAGGCGCCGCGGGATTCCCACCCCCAGGTGCCCGGCCTATTGGCTGCCTGGCAGAGACTAGCGGAGACTGGCGTCTTCCAGAGTCTATCGCTGTCCGGTTTAGGCCGTGGGCTCCGCCTACCAGGGAAACGTGCCCCAAGTGGGCCTGGGCGATAGGAGGCGGAGCGTCTATTGGCTGGAAGATAGTGACTGACGTCATGGGTAGCTTATCACAGCCAGCCTCCGGAGGAGCGCTCCCAGTTCAGGCCCGCCTCTGGAAAAACGCAAAGGGGTGGTAGGCGAGGGCGTGGTGGATGGCAGAAGCGCCCCGGAAGTGGGGTCCGGCCGCTCGCGCCGCTCGCTGGCCTCATCATTGGGTCCTAAGGGAGGATGGGGACTTGAGAAGTCTGGACTCCGTGGTCCTGAGGGAGGAGGGGCTGGGGATCTGAGGGAGGAGGGACAGAGGAACCTAGACTTCAGGGTCTGAGGAGCATCTGAATGGTTGGATCTTGAGGAAGGAGGGAGCTGGGAACCTGAAAGGTCGGGGTGTAGGGACGGGGGCTCCCAAGAGTCGCTGGCCTGCCCCGGGATGACGGATTTGAGGTTTCAGATTTTATGTGGCTATTTATGGGATTGGAGCCAGGCCTTGTCCCCAGGCAAGAGTTCTGGGTCCCGTGAGGTGGGGCTTAGAATAGAAATGAGGAGGAGGAGGCTTAGGGGAAGCTCTGGCCTCGGTGTGCCCTTTCCACCCCCACACCCCCCCGGAAAGGGAAGCCAGGGTGCTGTCTGCCAGGGGAACCCAGAGCGGGAGGAGACTTGAAACTCACATGGAGACAAAGAGAAAAACATTGATACCAAGAGAGATTAAAATAGTAAAAACAATAATTATAAGGGAGCTCTCTCTTGTATGGCGTGGACTGTGTGTGGCCCCGGTTCTTTGCGAAGCATCTCACATAATTATCGCATGTCTTCCTCATTACAGTTCTAAGAGATCAGATTATTATAATCCCCATTTTACAAGTGAGAAAATTGATGCCCAGTGAGGAAGAATCAAGATGCAAATGTGAAGAGACAGGAGAGACACAAAACACAGATGGAGATAAACAGGCAAAGAGATAAAAACAGGCCCAGGGAGAATAGAAAAGGTAGACAGCAAACAAAAGAGAGGGGCTGCAAGCCGGGACTCCTGGGGTGGGGTAGGGGGCTGGGGCCTAGGACTCCTGGGTCCCAGGGTTGGAAGGACCTAGGACTGGGGCTTTCAAGTATCTCCTCTCCTGATTTCCAAATACCAGACTTGTCCAACCCTTCTCACTGTGGGCGTTGGACCTGGTTGGGGTCAAAAATAGTGATTAGGAGGGGGCAGGCGTGTCATTATCCTATTAGGAGATGATAAGAAAATGATTCATGGGGATGCCCCCAGCCTGGGAGGGGCCTTTCCCCCATGGCCTCTGTTCTTTCATCTGGACAGATTGGGCCTCAGAAAGGACTGGGGAGGGGCAGGGTCCTCTCTGTCCCTCTCCACCACTGCACCTCCATCACTCAGAACTGTCACTAAGTCCCACCATGGAGATGAGTGGGCCACCGTGGGGCATCTCTCTGGGCCTCTCTGCTTTCCCCCACACCTTGAACCAATGCCCACCAGAGGTCCTGGCACATCACAGGAGCTCAGCAAATGCGTATCGAATGGATGGACAAACCTCTCTGGGCAGCTATTCCTCTGTCCCCGTCCTGACCATCTCTCTGTGTCCCCATCATGTTTCTCAGCCTCTCCCTCGCCTCACGCATCTCCTCCCACCTTCCCTTTCACACAGGTGTTTCATCCGAGGACACAGGGCCCCCTATCCCCAGTAAGAGGAAACTGAGGCTTTGGGGAACCTGGGTGGATCAGTCGGTTGAACATCCAACTCTTGATTTCGGCTTGGGTCATGATCTTGGGGTCCTGGGATCAAGCCCTGTGTCGGGCTCTGTGCTCAGCTGGGAGTCTACTTGAGATTCTCTCCCTCTCCCTTGGCCCCTTCCCTGCTCAAATAAATAAATAAATCTTATAAAAAGGAAGAAAAGGAAGAAGGAGGAGGAGAAGAAACTGAGGATCATTTTGGGAGAAGTCACCCTCCCAGGGTCACCTGTGGGACATGAAAAGGAGGAGCTGAGAGGGGTTCTCAAGACCCCAAATACAGACACACCCCTGGCATCTCGGAGTCAGAAATGTAAGATCACACCAAACATGTGCCCTCAATACCTGCTTAGTGGGATCTTCATTTGCACCCACACAATCAGAGAATCACATGCACCACGCGTACTCACCCACAAACACAAACATAAACATCAGCACACAATCACATAATCACCCTTACTGACAACACACACAGAAATCTCCTATTCTGGGGCGCCTGGGTGGCTCAGTCATTGGGCGTCTGCCTTCGGCTC